GAATGATAAAGCTCATGAAGCAGGGAGAGGGAGGACCCAGTAGTGGTCAGAAAAGAGGAAGGGCCAGAAGCTGAGCTCAACCCCTGCAACCACAATTCGGTGAGTATGCACACACATGCCAACATGCACACACATGCCAACATGCACACACATGCCAACATGCACACACATGCCAACATGCACACACATGCCAACATGCACACACATGCCAACACGCACGCACGCACGCACACACACACACACACACACACACACACACACACACACACACACACAACACACACACACACACACACACACACACACACACACACACACACACACACACACGCGCGCGCACACACACACACACACACACACACACACACACACACACACACACACACACACACACACACACACACACACACACACACACACACACACACACACACACACACCTTAGTAAGGAATCATTCAAGACACTGTACACTGTGTACATCAGGCCCATACTGGAGTATGCAGCACCAGTTTGGAACCCACACCTGGCCAAGCACATCAAGAAATTAGAGAAAGTGCAAAGGCTTGGAACAAGGTTAATTCCAGAGTTCAGGGGTATGTCCTACGAAGAAAGGTTGAGGGAAATCGGACTGACGACTCTGGAGGACAGGAGGGTCAGGGGAGACATGATAACGACATACAAAATACTGCGTGGAATAGATAAGGTGGACAGAGTCAGGTTGTTCCACAGAGGGGACACAGAAACAAGAGGTCACAATTGGAAGCTGAAGACTCAGACGAGTCACAGGGATGTTAGGAAGTATTTCTTCAGTCATAGAGTCATTAGGAAGTGGAATAGCCTAGCAAGTGATGTAGTGAAGGCAGGAACCATACACAGCTTTAAGACAAGGTATGACAAAGCTCAGGAAGCAGAGAGAGAGAGGACCTAGTAGCAATCAGTGAAGAGGCAGGGCCAGGAGCTGAGTCTCGACCCCTGCAACCACAATTAGGTGAGTACAATTAGGTGAGCACACACACACCGATGGGTATGTCCTACAAAGAAAGGTTGAGGGAAATCGGACTGACGACATTGGAGGACAGGCGGGTCAGGGGAGACATGATAACGACATACGAAATACTGCGTGGAATAGATAAGGTAGACAGAGACAGGTTGTTCCAGAGAGGGGACACAGAAACAAGGGGTCACAATTGGAAGCTGAAGACTCAGACAAGTCAGAGGAATGTTAGGAAGTATTTCTTCAGTCATAGAGTCGTCAGGAAGTGGAATAGCCTAACAAGTGATGTAGTGGAGGCAGGAACCATACATAGCTTTAAGACAAGGTATGACAAAGCTCTGGAAGCAGAGAGAGAGAGAGAGGACCTAGTAGTGATCAGTGAAGAAGCAGGGCCAGGAGCTGAGTCTTGACCCCTGCAACCACAATTAGGTGAGTACGTACACACACACACACACACACATATATATATATATATATATTTATACATATATATATATACTGGGACCCACACAGACATGGGAAGAACGTTCAAACTCCATACACAGCGGCTCCTAGCCGGGAATCAATTTTAAAAGATAAAAAGATAAAGGTAAATATTTATTTATTTGCAAAGGTTACAATGTGTAATTACAATTTTGGTTCGCTAAGTACAAAGAAAGCCACTATTATTCCGGGGCATTTCGAGCAGACTAATCCTAGTGCATCACTCTTATAATAAAACAACATTGAACAAAATGATATTAAGTGAGAACTTACTGTAACATGATACTGTATCTACTTATAATGTAAGATAATTCCAGTGCAAATGAATGCTCTGGGGCATGTTTATAAATTATTGATGAATACAGGGTGAGTTGGTATTAAAAGGGTTCAATGATTAACTCACTAAGCAAGTATTATATTTATAAAAATGCACTAAACCCATGAGGGTCATTATTAAGCAATACTTCTACTGCTACTAATTACAACCTCCACATGTCTTTCAGCTTTCAGGTGATCATCCAAGAGTTTTGGAGAAAAGACATAGTAAATATTTGTTTAAGAATTAATTAAATAAATACTGTAATAAGTTAGTGTGAAGTGTTATGTAAACTTCATGTTTTACCAATTACTGTAGTCTACATCCTTCATCAAGCAGTGCCACAATTTTAAAAATTGTAAAGAATTATGAAAGTGTCTCTTATGTAAATACAATTTTCATATTAATATGATGGTAAGTGGTAACTTTTCCTTGACTAATCCAAAGAATTCTCATATGGTCATATCTGGTGTACACCAGGACCTAGGTACGAATATATCTGCTGCAAGAAATGAGAATCTAATGTGATATCATGTGCTCTTCCACTCACATAATTGGAGTGGTATTCATTATTATTATTATTAATCATAATCACAGAAAGTGCTAAGAGAGTGGTATTTATAGTGAAATTTAGTTCATTCACTTATTTTAAATCGATTATATTTCTGAACAGATAAATTAGTGTCTAAATACCTCAAATCTTTATAAAATGTGCAAAATACTCTATATGAAAAAGGAAAATTTGTACATATGCATTCTCTCACTTGCCATGTTATTCAGTGCTATTGATTCATAAAAAATAACTGCTTTTATTTATTGAGAAATAAATACTCTGCATTGTGTGCCTCTCATGTGAAGCCTAACAGCTACACTAATTAATGTAACTGATTACACTGCATAACATTAAACTAATAGGTAGCAAGAAAGGAGAGCCCAAGTGAACTCTATGCTAATTCTTGATTCTGAAAAATTCCTTGTCCTCTTGTTTTTATTATTTCATATATACAGTAGGTAACTGTATACATAAAGTAAATAAAGGTAACCAAATGTTATATTGCTCTTATTCACCCCTATTGTAAATATTTTGTTGACATTTTCCCATTCTTGAGGAATATTATTATTATTATTATTATAATCATGGGAAACTGCTAAACCAGCAGGGGTCAAACAACACCTAGGTAATGGGTGACAATCAGGTTTGATCACAAGGAAGAGGAGGCTAACTGCAATTTCATGGATCAAGAGCATCAAACCAAAACCCTCTTCTTGAAAGGTCCATGAGCAATAAAATGTCTTAACATTATGTGTACCATAATAACCTATTTCACTACACAAGGGAGATTGCTCAAAACTGGTGAGGTACTCTTGATCAAATGAAATGGACCAGACCTCCTCTTTCTTCAAGTGAACCTGAATACCTCTCATTCCCCTACCATATTATTATATATGATGGAAATAAGCAGTAATCATATAGGGGTCATATAGTGACCCCTATATGATTAAAAATAAAAATAGATTGAAGTATAATACCATTTTATTGTACTGTATATTTTTCCTCTCAGGTCTGGAACCAGTCATTATTATTATTATTATACTCACAAGACAAGCATTAATCCTGTATAGATCAAACAGTATTACATGGTGGAAGTGTGCCATCATCATGGAAAAGATGTATGAATGGAGGGGTCAAGGGATAAGCCAGAGCGTAATAGACCAGTTTTAGGAAATCAGTGCTTGCACTTGAATCATGCAGTATCCAAATTGCATCTAGGTATTACAGGTTGGCCATCACTAATCTGGCATCATCGGGACCTGTAGGGTGCCAGATTAGTGATTTTGCTGGATTACAGAGTGGTTAGGTTAGAATACACTTTGCCCAACAGTGATGTTTATGCATGGGCAATTTCACCCACTTTATGCCCTATTTTTGGCCCATTCCATTGTTTCAGTCTACCAAACTCATAGCTATTTCACTAGTATTCCTTCTATCTGTCAACTGAGTACAAGAAACTGCCCATTTACCTATTTCAACTACCCAATAAAGTGGTCAGAAATCGGTAATTTGGCCAATTTCAAAATTTCAAGAGATGCCAATTTCAAGAGGGTCCAGAATAAACAATGCAGACATTCCTGGCACTAAAATAATTTTCTCTTTTAGTCATCTCTGCAGGCCCCTCTTATATTATGCTTCCTTTCCATTTTGAATTTTTATTCACAAGAAAAAAAATAGAAAATAAAAAATTTGTATTACCACTTACCATTTAATTACTGTAGACGGATCACACCACAACACCTGCCTGACACCTAGACCCTACACTGGCCAGCTAAAGATCTAAGTGCAAGGACTAATGGTGCACTTTCCTGTGAGTGATGGTCATATGCCTCATTTTCCGCCATCCACACGTAATTCTTGAGGTTCCCAAATTTCCTGTCCCAATTCTTCAGCAGGGGACATTAACATGGGTTCCTAATTACAAATTCAAGCTGAACCCCCCCCCCCCCAATTTGGCTCGGAAGATGCCGGATTATTAGCAGAATTTCCTGACAACCAGTGCCCACAAATTACCAATGGTGCCTTCTTGCATCACTCCTCGGCTCTTCCACAAAGTCTCTGTTTTACTGATATGTGCAAGTCCCCATGCTCTTACTCATCTTCATGTTATGCATCAAATAAGACACCTTAATTCTGTTGTCATCATCTGAGCCATTTTTGTTCATTTTCATCATCATTTGGACTTAATATCTTTATTATTCTTAATATTATTCCTTCTGAGTCAATCATCTTCACGGTTCACCATTTTCTACCCCTTAAAGGTTCCTTGATGCTGGCGAGAGTATTATTATTATTATTATAATAAAAAAGAAGCGCTAAGCCACAAGGGCTATACAGCTATGCTGGCGAGAGGCTCTTGATCTATGGAATTTGATTAATGCTATATTTCCCTGAACCAAACCTGAATACCTTCCATTCCTCAAAGCGCTGTATGACCCCATAGGGTTTAGTGCTCCCCATAAATGTAATATAATCCTCATTTTCTAACTCAATTTTCTTACTGCTTCGTCTTCCTTACATTTATCTTAGATACTTAGTGGATACAGCTACAGTATATCGCTATTCATTTTAAGAATTTCAAGATAATGAAAAACATATGTAATACAGAAAGAAAAAGTTACTCGAGAGAGGCTGTCAGCCAGACAAGCGCCTGCGCGGTAGTGATGTTGAGGCAGCAGAGCTGAACCAACTGTCAGACATGTGTCTGCTACTGTCTCGGTGGTGTCTACCACCTAGTGTTGGAGTCTACCACTGAGTTCTGGTATCTACCACTGAGTTCTGGTATCTACCACTGAGTTCTGGTGTCTACCACTGAGTTCTGGTGTCTACCACTGAGTGTTGGTATCTACCACTGAGTGCTGGTGTCTACCACTGAGTGCTGGTGTCTACCATTAAGTATTCATCCTTCAGCCGTTATCTCACACACTACACGTGGATGCTGCGCCACTCAGACTGTTGGTCTCGTTAAATCCATTTGTGGAAAGTTGAGAAGTCTTCAAAAACTATTGATTAGCTGTTTTCAAAACGAGATTAGCTGTCTTCATTAGCAAAGATTAGCTGTCTTCAAGGGCGGAGATTAGGTGTCTTCAAGAGGAGATATTAGATGTTTTCAAGAGAAGTGATTAGCTATATTAAGAACAGAGATTAGTTATATTCGAGAGCAGAAATTAACTATTCAAGAGTAGAAATTAGTTGTATTCAAGAGCAGAGATCAGTTGTATTCAACAGCAGAGATCAGTTGTATTCAAGAGCAAAGATCAGTTGTATTCAAGAGCAGAGATCAGTTGTATTCAACAGCAGAGATCAGTTGTATTCAAGAGCAAAGATCAGTTGTATTCAACAGCAGAGATCAGTTGTATTCAACAGCAGAGATCAGTTGTATTCAACGGCAGAGATCAGTTGTATTCAACGGCAGAGATTATCTGTATTCAACGGCAGAGATCAGTTGTATTCAACGGCAGAGATTAGTTGTATTCAACAGCAGAGATCAGTTGTATTCAACGGCAGAGATAAGTTGTAATCTACGGCAGAGATTAGTTGTATTCAACGGCAGAAATAAGTCGTAATCTACGGCAGAGATCAGTTGTATTCAACGGCAGAGATAAGTTGTAATCTACGGCAGAGATAAGTTGTAATCTACGACAGAGATCAGTTATATTCAACAGCAGAAATAAGTTGCAATCTACGGCAGAGATAAGTTGTAATCTACGGCAGACATCAGTTATATTCAACGGCAGAAATAAGTTGTAATCTACGGCAGAGATTAGTTGTATTCAACGGCAGAGATAAGTTGTAATCTTCGGCAGAGATCAGTTGTAATTAACAGCAGAGATTAACTGTCAGCAAACTCCAGATCTTCCCAAAACATGAACATTCCAGTAAGTTGATTGGTTATGTCTTCCCAACATTTAGGATAATGGTGCTCCCATTAATTATTACGAGTTTAATCACTTTTAACCAGTCATAACATGAGAGCAACAACAGTTTAACCAGTCATTACATGAGAGCAACAACAGTTTAGCCAGTCATTACATGAGAGCAACAACAGTTTGGCCAGTCATTACATGAGAGCAACAACAGTTTAACCAGTCATTACATGAGAGCAACAACAGTTTAACCAGTCATTACATGAGAGCAACAACAGTTTAAGTTAAACATACACTAAACGAACATACATATCCTTACGAACAAACAAATAGATACGGATGAAAAGACTGGTCATCAGTATTATGTCTCCTCAAATATGGAAAAAAAAAATCATTATTTCACACCATTACATGAGTTGTTAATCTATGTATGTATGTATTAATACATGTATGTGCATGTATTAATACATGAATGTGTATGTTTTAATGCATGTATATGTATTAATGCATGTATGTGTATGTATTAATGCATGTATGTGTATGTATTAATTCATGTATGTGTATGTATTAATGCATGTATGTGTATGTATTAATGCATGTATGTATTAATGCATGTATGTATTAATGCATGTATGTGTATGTATTAATACATGTATGTATATGTATTAACGTATGTGTGTGTGTGTATGTATTAATCCATGTATGTGTATGTATTAATGCACGTATGTGTATGTATTAATGCATGTATGTGTATTAATGCATGTATGTGTATGTATTAATGCATGTATGTGTATTAATGCATGTATGTGTATGTATTAATGCATGTATGTGTATGTATTAATGCATATATGCGTATGTATTAATGCATGTATGTGTATGTATTAATGCACGTATGTGCATATATTAATGCATGTATGCGTATGTATTAATGCATGTATGTGTATATATTAATGCATGTATATGTATTAATGCATGTATATGTATTAATGCGCATGTGTATATATTAATGCGTGTATGTGTATATATTAATGCATGTATATGTATTAATGCATGTATATGTATTAATGCGCATGTGTATATATTAATGCGTGTATGTGTATATATTAATGCATGTATATGTATTAATGCATGTATATGTATTAATGCGCATGTGTATATATTAATGCGTGTATGTGTATATATTAATCCGTGTATGTGTATATATTAATACACATATGTGTATATATTACTGCGTGTATGTGTATTAACGCATGCACTGTATGCGTTAATGCATGTATATGTACACGTTCATGTACTCACCTAATTGTACTCACCTAATTGTGGTTGCAGGGGTCGAGACTCAGCTCCTGGCCCCGCCTCTTCACTGATCGCTACTGGATCCTCTCTCTCTCTGCTTCCTGAGCTTTGTCATACCTCTTCTTAAAACTATGTATGGTTCCTGCCTCCACTACTTCACTTGCTAGGCTATTCCACTTGCTGACAACTCTATGACTGAAGAAATACTTCCTAACGTCCCTGTGACTCGTCTGAGTCTTCAGCTTCCAGTTGTGACCCCTTGTCCCTGTGTCCCCTCTCTGGAACATCCTATCTCTGTCCACCTTGTCTATTCCCCGCAGTATCTTGTATGTCGTTATCATGTCTCCCCTGACCTTCTGTCCTCCAGTGTCGTCAGTCCGATTTCCCTTAACCTTTCCTCGTACGACATTCCCTTGAGCTCTGGGACTAGCCTTGTTGCAAACCTTTGTACTTTCTCTAACTTCTTGACGTGCTTGACCAGGTGTGGGTTCCAGACTGGTGCTGCATACTCCAGTATGGGCCTAACATACACAGTGTACAGTGTCTTGACGATTCCTTATTAAGGTATCGGAACGCTATTCTCAGGTTTGCCAGGCGCCCGTATGCTGCAGCGGTTATTTGGTTGATGTGTGCCTCCGGTGATGTGCTCGGTGTTATGGTCACCCCAAGGTCTTTCTCCTGAGTGAGGTCTGTAGTCTTTGTCCACCTAGCCTATACTCTGTCTGCGGTCTTCTTTGCCCTCCCCAATCTTCATGACTTTGCATTTGGCTGGATTGAATTCGAGAAGCCAGTTACTGGACCACATTGTCCAGCCTCTCCAGGTCTCTTTGCAGTCCTGCCTCATCCTCGTCCGATTTAATTCTTCTCATCAGCTTCACGTCATCTGCGAACAGGGACACTTCAGAGTCTATTCCTTCCATCATGTCGTTCACATATATCAAAAATAGCACTGGTCCTAGAACTGACCCCTGTGGGACCCCGCTCGTAACAGGCGCCCACTGTGATACCTCTTCACGTACCATGACTCGTTGCTGCCTCCCTGTCAGTTATTCCCTATCCATTGCAGTGCCCTTCCTTTTACGTGTGCCTGATCCTCCAGCTTCTGCACTAATCTCTTGTGGGGAACTGTGTCAAAGGCCTTCTGCAGTCTAGGAAAACGCAATCTACCCAACCCTCTCTCTCGTGTCTTACTTCTGTTACCTTGTCATAAAACTCAGGAGGTTTGTGATACAAGATTTGCCTTCCATGAACCCATGCTGGTTTTCATTTATAATCTTGTTCCTTTCCAGGTGTTCGACCACTTCCTCCTGATAATCTTCTCCATGACCTTGCACACGATACATGTCAGAGACACAGGTCTGTAGTTTAGTGCCTCGTTTCTGTTTCCTTTCTTAAATATGGGGACTACATTAGCTGTCTTCCATTTCTCAGGTAGTTGCCCAGTTTCAAGGGATGTGTTGAAGATTGTGGTTAGAGGCACACACAGCATCTCTGCTCCTTCTCTAAGGACCCATGGGGAGATGTTGTCCGGTCCCATCGCCTTTGAGGTGTCAAGGTCATTAAGAGCTTCTTCACCTCCTCCTCAGTTGTTCGTATGTCATCCAACACTTGTTGGTATATTCCCTCTTGATGTTCCTTCTGTTCTGTCTTCCCACAGCCCTTCCTGTCTCTACTGTAAAAACTTCCTTGAATCTCCTGTTCAGCTCCTCACATACCTCCTGATCATTTCTTGTGAGTTCTCCACCTTCTGTCCTTAATCTGATCACCTGGTCTTTGATTGTTGTCTTCCTCCTGATGTGGCTATACAACAGTTTTGGGTCAGTCTTGATTCTCGATGCTATGTCATTTTCATACTGTCGCTGGGCCCTCCCTCCTTACCTGTGCGTACTCATTCTGGCTCTGCGACTGATCTCCCTATTTTCGTGTGTTCTCTGCCTTCTGTACTTTTTCCATTCTCTATTGCACTTTGTTTTTGCCTCCTTACACCGTCGGTGTGAACCAGGGGCTTGTTATGGTCTTCCCGTTGTTACTGTTGCCTTGGGAATGAACCTTTCCACTGCCTCCTTGCATTTTGTTGCTACATATTCCATCATTTCATTTACTGGCTTTCCTGCCAGTTCTCTGTCCCACTGGACCTCCCGCAGGAAGTTCTTCAACCTATGTAGTCTCCTCTTTTATAGTCAGGTTTTTCCCATTCTACTCCTGTTATTCTCTCCACTTGCAGCTCTACTATGTATTCAAAGCACAGAACCACGTGGTCGCTAGCTCTAGGGGACTCTCATACTTGATGTCCTCAATGTCTGAGCTGCCCAGGGTGAACACAAGGTCCAATCTTGCTGGTTCATCCTCCCTCTCACTCTGGTAGTGTCCTTAACATGTTGGTGCATGAGGTTTTCCAGCACCACGTCAACATCCTGGCTCTCCATGTTTCGGGACCCCCATGTGGCTCCAGGTTTTCCCAGTCAATCTCCCTGTGGTTGAATCCCCATAACCAGCAACTTTGCTCTGCTGGAGTGAGTCTTCTTGCCACCTCAGCAAGTGTGTCCACCATTGCTCTGTTGCTCTCTTCATATTCCTCTCTTGGCCTCCTGCAGTTCTGTGGTGGATTATACATCACTGCAATGACCACTTTGTGTTCCCCCGACTGAAGTGTACCTGCTATGTAGTCTCTTTCTCCCGTCTCATCTATTCCTTCCATTTTCTCGAATTTCCATCTGTTTTTTACGAGCAGAGCAACCCCACCTCCCCCCCTGCCCCTTCTATCTTTCCTCATGATCTGGTATCCTGGTGGGAAGATTGCATCTGTTATTGTCTCCATGAGTTTTGTTTCTGTAACTGCTATGAGTCTGGGGACTTCTCATTGATTCTTTCTTGCCATTCCTCATGTTTATTCGTTAATCCATCTGCATTTGTGTACCAAACCTCCAACTTCTGTTTCTATACTGTAACTGTGGGTGCGGGGGGTGGAAACAGAGGGATCGGTGTGTGATGGTTGGTTTGGATTGTTCAGTTGCCTTGGGGGTGTCGTGGCTGGAGTCCTTCTGCAGGTGTTTCTGGGGGGTGCGCTTGTCCTTCCATTTGATCCTGGGTTATTCTGCTCTCCTTTTTCATTTCCTCCCATTTCTCCTTTCGTTTTGAACTCTCTCTTTCATTGTCTTCCTTTCGTCCTGTGTTCTGTCTCGGTCGAGGTACACACTCCGGAACTCCTGCTTGCCTCTCAGCCGTGCTTTCTCCTGCAGGATCATGGTTCGGGTTGATTCTGCCTTGAAAATTACTTTGAGAGGCCGATTCCTTTTCTTTGTGAACACACCCATTTCTCCGAAAATTTGCCACCTGGGTCATGTCCCCCTCGCCTATCACCTTCATGATGTCTTCAATCGCTTTTTTCTCCTCCTGCTTTCTTTCATCATAAGTTTCCCCTTTAGCTTCGTCTAGCCATAGACAAACACGGATCTCTCCCTTTCCACCTCCCACTGTGACTCCCATTGCATCCTTGATGTGTTTTAGTTCCTTCCCGTGGAGTGTTCCTTCCTTCAGTCCCTTCCCTCGTTATGGCCCCCATGCTTCTTGGTTTATCCTTCCTGCTCACTGCTCCTGGCCCCCACAGGTATCTGGTAAGGTCCTTGCACATGTCCTAGTTCCTTCGATGTCTTCCAACCTCTCTTTCTGTCCTAGAGTGCTCCCTGTCTTGTTTTGGCCCCAAGTGGGTTTGACAGGACCTCTGCATACAGTTTAGTCTCCATGCTTCCTTCGGACCTGTTGTCTGTGTTCGATGTAGCCATTGCCGATGCTACTTCTGTAATATCTTTGTCTCTGTGCTGTTTCAGATGTCTCAGCTCCTCTTCTAATCTCTCTATCTTGATTTCTGCTTCTGTGGCCTGTTGCTTCCACCTTCTGCATTCTGCTGCTAACCTTCTCTTCCATCTTCCTTTCCAGCTCATCTAGTCTCCTTCCCAGTCTTCCTCCCTTTTTTTTGAGCTCTATCTCCATTCCTCCCTCTCAGATTCGTCCTTGGAACCCCTTGTCCTCATCCTGGTTAGGGGGAGGGGAATAGATGGTTAGGAGAGGGGATGGATGGTTGTGGGGGAGGGGGTGAGATGGTTATTGGAGGGGTAGAGATAGTTGGGGGAGGGAGTTAGATGGTTTGGGGGAGATAGGGGATGGATGGTTTATGGGGGAGGGGGAGGATGGTTATTGGAGGGAGGGAGGTTGTTGGGGGGGGGTTAGACGGTTTGGGGAGGGGTTAGGTGGTTTGGGGGGAGGGGTAGGTGGCTAAGGTGAGGTGGTTAGGGAAGGGGTGGTACGTGTTTGTGTCTAGTGTTTGTGTCAAGTGGTGGAGGGTGTGTGTGTGTGTGTGTGTGTGTGTGTGTGGTGTGTGCGTGTGCGTGTGCGTGTGCGTGTGCGTGGTGTGCGTGTGTGTGGTGTGTGTGTGGTGTGTGTGTGTGGTGTGTGTGTGGTGTGTGTGTGTGGTGTGTGTGTGGTTGTGTGTGGTTGTGTGTGTGGTGTGTGTGTGGTGTGTGTGTGGTGTGTGTGTGGTGTGTGTGTGGTGTGTGTGTGGTGTGTGTGTGATGTGTGTGTGGTGTGTGGTTGTGGTGTGTGTGTTGTGTGTGTGTGTGTGTGTGTGTGTGTGTATGTGTGTGTGTGTGTATGTGTGTGTGTGTGTATGTGTGTGTGTGTGTATGTGTGTGTGTGTGTATGTGTGTGTGTGTATGTGTGTATGTGTATGTGTGTGTGTGTGTGTGTGTGTATGTATGTGCGTGTGTGTGTGCGTGCGTTTGTGTGTGTGTGGTGTGTGCGTGTGTGGTGTGTGTGGTGTGTGTGTGTGGTGTATGTGTGTGTGTGTATGTGTTAATGCACGTATGTGTATGTATTTGTTAATTGAGGCGTTTCTTGTTGCAGGCGAAAGTGGCAGTGATGGCAGTAACGACTGTGGCTTGTATGGTGGTAGGTGAGCCTTTACAACCATTAAATCAACCATACTACAACCACGGCCCTTCACACATCAGACTCGGCGCTGACTACAGCAGTTACCCATGGCTTTCTTCCCCTCCACCTCTCATCTATCCATCCTACCCTTCACAACAACCATATTATCTTTCACAACAATCCAACCCTTTGCACCCATCGTATCCTACAAAACCACCCTACCCACCGCAATCATCCTATCCTTCACAACCACCCTATACTACACAGCCACCCTACCCACCACAATCATCCTATCTATATTACTGGCAAGATGACAGCTTGCAGTCTTCTTATCCCTGGAAAACATACTATCCCTACTATATGTTTTATCCCTCCTATCCCGACTTGATGATGACTTCTCCCGTGACAACCAGCAAGCCCTCTGAGTCTTCGGTGTGGCCAACGGGCAGACCAGGGATCACTAGAACACCTTCCATCGTTATCTGGCCCACAGGAAAAGGCAGACGTACAAGGCCACCTTCAAGCCAAGAATGGCCTACTGAGAAGGCTCACACACCTCATCTTTCTACCACCAAGATACCTCTTTGGCCAACTAAAAAGACCACTAGACAACCTTCCGTCCCGGTCTGGCCTATCCAGAAATCCACTGCTACCACTATTCCTCCTTGGCCCACTGGTTCGGTTCAGACCACACGTTTCCCAGCCTACTCAGTCTGGCCAGCTGGACTAAAACAGACCTCCAGGCCTCCGCCGGTCCCTATCTGGCCAACAGGGCCCCCTCGCACTACATTACGTCCGGTAACTCCTGGATGGCCAACTGATAAGCAACAGGCGTTGAAATTTACCAGCGCTACTTGGCCAACTGTCAAGTCACAGACAGTCTCACCTTTAGGTCCTGCGTGGCCAACTGTCAATCCACGAACGATGTCCCACGGTGTTCCCGAGTTTCCTATGAGCATTCCCAAAGCAGTTGCTGTCGGCCCTCGCCTGCACAAGAAAAAACCACGAGCAAGACCTCGAAGTAGCAGCTCTGGCGGTGGGATAAGGTCAAGGGACGGTTAAAAGGTGAAGGTGGGTCATCCTAGCCCTCGTGTCACAACCAGTGCCCTACCCACCACCACTGTCAGACACACTACAGCTTATGCAGTCAAACAGTGAGATACCTACGCTTATTCTATGTAACCTGGTTTAAATAAGTTAGCAATATTTTATTACGATCAATTTACGCGACAAGATTTAGACATAATAATGATGGAAAAGCGCTAAATCCGTAGGGATTATACAAGAGAATGGAAAGCATTCTGGCTAGATTCAAGGAATTAAAGCAAAGATCCCTTTTTAATCACTAGCCATGCTGATACTGTAAAAGTTTTTTTTTTGTCATTTGAGAAGCTATCTGGCATTTTATAGTTTGTAATGCAGAAGACATTCCGAATTTATAAAATAAATATCAAATGAACAAGTCATTTTTATTAACACTGTAGAAGATATCTAGATGTACCAGAGAAGTGTATAAACTCACACCATGTTACTGTGCATTACTACCATCTTTACTACTTACACTACCAGTACCACTGGAAACAACCAGTAATACTAACAATACCACTAGTAACAGTAACAATACCACTAGGAATAGTAACAGTACCACTGATAACATGAGCTCGACCACTTGCAGTATAGCTAGTAATACTAGTAACAGTAACAAGAAAATACTGCTAGCAGTACCAGAAGCATCACCTTCGTCACAATTACTAAGAACTAACCACGACCGAGGAAGTGAACTGGATGTGATTAAAGCTAATGAAATATGAACTGACGTGTCCGCAGAGTTTTTTTTTATATGACTGTGCCTTACCCCCTCCCTTATCAGAGCTGTTATGACCCATGTGGGCTTAGCGCTTAGTTTGATAATAATAATAATAATCATAGTAATGATTACCCCTATACCTTCCGCCACCAATCCCCCCCCCCAAGGTTAAAAATATAATAAAAGAGAGTACTAATGGAGGCCTACTGCCGCATGCTAGGCAGGTTTGACTCATTCCCAACTACATACACTTATATACCCGGCAATCTAATTCTAAAGCTATCCAAAGTTCTCTCTTCAGTATTGCTACTTGATAGTTGTTGTTGGTGGTGTTTATAGGGACACTGACAGATTATGCTGTATTGAGCTTCCCAAGGTGGTGATTGCACTAATGCATAACCCACCACAGAACAGCAGGAGGCCAAGACAAGAATGTGATGAGAGTAACAGGGCAACGGTTGACACACTGGATGAAGTGGCCAGAAGGGCCCATGCATCAATACGTTAGGGAAACCACCAGAGAGAGGAGAGGATGAGCCGGCAAGAGATAGAACAACCACTGTGAAAAAATAGTGAACTTCCAAGCGCTTTCGTGATTTCTCACATCAATCGCATCAGCTAGAAAAATGACAGAATGGATAATGAAATACTTCAAAACTAGGAATGTCAAGCCCATGATGACACTCTTCAGGTTGCTTGTTCTATCTAGGCTGGAATACTGCTGCACACTAACAGCACCTTTCAAGGCAGGTGAAATTGCTGACCTAGAAAATGTACAGAGAACCTTCACGGCACACATAACTGCGATAAAACACCTCATCTACCGGGAACGCTTCAAGTTCCTCAGCTCAGGTCCTTAGCTTCGAACTATAGACCAATAAGCCTAACCTCCATAGTGGGAAAATTTATGGAATCAATAATTGCCGAGGCAGTTCGTAGCCACCTTGAAAAGCACAAATTAATCAACGAATCTCAGCATGGTTTTACAAAGGGGCGTTCCTGCCTTACGAATTTATTAACTTTTTTCACTAAGGTATTTGAGGAGGTAGATCATGGTAATGAATATGATATTGTGTATATGGACTTCAGTAAGGCTTTTGACAGGGTCCCACATCAGAGACTATTGAGGAAGATTAAAGCACATGGAATAGGAGGAGAAATTTTTTCCTGGATAGAGGCATGGTTGACAAATAGGCAGCAGAGAGTTTGCATAAATGGGGAGAAATCAGAGTGGGGAAGCGTCACGAGTGGTGTTTCCACAGGGGTCAGTGTTGGGCCCCCTGCTGTTCACAATCTACATAAACGACATAGATGAGGGCATAAAGAGCGACATCGGCAAGTTTGCCGATGACACCAAAATAGGCCGTCGAATTCATTCTGACGAGGACATTCGAGCACTCCAGGAAGATTTGAATAGACTGATGCAGTGGTCGGAGAAGTGGCAGATGCAGTTTAATATAGACAAATGCAAAGTTCTAAATGTTGGACAGGACAATAACCATGCCACATATAAACTAAATAATGTAGATCTTAATATTACGGATTGCGAAAAAGATTTAGGAGTTCTGGTTAGCAGTAATCTGAAACCAAGACAACAGTGCATAAGTGTTCGCAATAAAGCTAATAGAATCCTTGGCTTCATATCAAGAAGCATAAATAATAGGAGTCCTCAGGTTGTTCTTCAACTCTATACATCCTTGGTTAGGCCTCATTTAGATTATGCTGCACAGTTTTGGTCACCGTATTACAGAATGGATATAAATTCTCTGGAAAATGTACAAAGGAGGATGACAAAGTTGATCCCATGTATCAGAAACCTTCCCTATGAGGATAGACTAAGGGCCCTGAAACTGCACTCTCTAGAAAGACGTTAGAATTAGGGGGGATATGATTGAGGTGTATAAATGGAAGACAGGAATAAATAAAGGGGATGTAAATAGTGTGCTGAAAAATATCTAGCCTAGACAGGACTCGCAGCAATGGTTTTAAGTTAGAAAAATTCAGATTCAGGAAGGATATAGGAAAGTACTGGTTTGGTAATAGAGTTGTGGATGAGTGGAACAAACTCCCAAGTACCGTTATAGAGGCCAGAACGTTGTGTAGCTTTAAAAATAGGTTGGATAAATACATGAGTAGATGTGGGTGGGTGTGAGTTAGACCTGATAGCTTGTGCTACCAGGTCGGTTGTCGTGTTCCTCCCTTAAGTCAATGTGACCTGACCTGACTAGGTTGGGTGCATTGGCTTAAGCCGGTAGGACACTTGGACCTGCCTCGCATGGGCCAGTAGGCCTTCTGCAGTGTTCCTTCGTTCTTATGTTCTTATGTTCTAACCTGTACTCCCCAGAACGCAGGCGGGAGAGATACATGATTATATATACTTGGAAAATCCTAGAGGGACTAGCACCAAACTTGCACACGAAAATCACTCGCCATGAAAGCAAAAGACTCGGCAGACGATGCAACAACATCCCCCCCCCCAGTGAAAAGCAGGGATGCCACTAGCACGGAATGAGACAACACAGTAAGTGTCAGAGGCCCAAGACTGTTCAACTGCCTCTCAGCATACATAAGGGGGATTACCAACATACCCCTGGCTGTCTTCAGGAAGGCGCTGGACAAATACCTAAACTCAGTACCTGACCAGCCGAGCTGTGGTTCGTACGTCAGTTTCCGTGTGGCCAGCAGTAACAGCCTGGTTGAACAGACCCTGATCCACCATGATGCCTGGTCACAGGCCGGGCCGCGGGGGCGTTGACCCCTGAAACCCTCTCCATGTATACTACAGGTATTATCAAGAAAGCGCTTGGAAAGTTCACTATATTTTTCACTGGGTGTTCTGCATATTGCGATATCTATCACCTGTTGACTGTGATTCTATTGTATTTATATATATATATATATATATATATATATATATATATATAAATATATATATATAATATATATATATATATATATATATATATATTATTATTTTTTTTATTATCACACCGGCCGATTCCCACCAAGGCAGGGTGGCCCGAAAAAGAAAAACTTTCACCATCATTCACTCCATCACTGTCTTGCCAGAAGGGTGCTTTACACTACAGTTTTTAAACTGCAACATTAACACCCCTCCTTCAGAGTGCAGGCACTGTACTTCCCATCTCCAGAACTCAAGTCCGGCCTGCCGGTTTCCCTGAATCCCTTCATAAATGTTACTTTGCTCACACTCCAACAGCACGTCAAGTATTAAAAACCATTTGTCTCCATTCACTCCTATCAAACACGCTCACGCATGCCTGCTGGAAGTCCAAGCCCCTCGCACACAAAACCTCCTTTACCCCTCCCTCCAACCCTTCCTAGGCCGACCCCTACCCCGCCTTCCTTCCACTACAGACTGATACACTCTTGAAGTCATTCTGTTTCGCTCCATTCTCTCTACATGTCCGAACCACCTCAACAACCCTTCCTCAGCCCTCTGGACAACAGTTTTGGTAATCCCGCACCTCCTCCTAACTTCCAAACTACGAATTCTCTGCATTATATTCACACCACACATTGCCCTCAGACATGACATCTCCACTGCCTCCAGCCTTCTCCTCGCTGCAACATTCATCACCCACGCTTCACACCCATATAAGAGCGTTGGTAAAACTATACTCTCATACATTCCCCTCTTTGCCTCCAAGGACAAAGTTCTTTGTCTCCACAGACTCCTAAGTGCACCACTCACTCTTTTTCCCTCATCAATTCTATGATTCACCTCATCTTCATAGACCCATCCGCTGACACGTCCACTCCCAAATATCTGAATACGTTCACCCCCTCCATACTCTCTCCCTCCAATCTGATATTCAATCTTTCATCACCTAATCTTTTTGTTATCCTCATAACCTTACTCTTTCCTGTATTCACCTTTAATTTTCTTCTTTTGCACACCCTACCAAATTCATCCCCCAATCTCTGCAACTTCTCTTCAGAATCTCCCAAGAGCACAGTGTCATCAGCAAAGAGCAGCTGTGACAACTCCCACTTTGTGTGTGATTCTTTATCTTTTAACTCCACGCCTCTTGCCAAGACCCTCGCATTTACTTCTCTTACAACCCCATCTATAAATATATTAAACAACCACGGTGACATCACACATCCTTGTCTAAGGCCTACTTTACTGGGAAAAAATTTCCCTCTTTCCTACATACTCTAACTTGAGCCTCACTATCCTCGTAAAAACTCTTCACTGCTTTCAGTAACCTACCTCCTACACCATACACTTGCAACATCTGCCACATTGCCCCCCTATCCACCTGTCATACGCCTTTTCCAAATCCATAAATGCCACAAAGACCTCTTTAGCCTTATCTAAATACTGTTCACTTATATGTTTCACTGTAAACACCTGGTCCACACACCCCCTACCTTTCCTAAAGCCTCCTTGTTCATCTGCTATCCTATTCTCCGTCTTACTCTTAATTCTTTCAATTATAACTCTACCATACACTTTACCAGGTACACTTAACAGACTTATCCCCCTATAATTTTTGCACTCTCTTTTATCCCCTTTGCCTTTATACAAAGGAACTATGCATGCTCTCTGCCAATCCCTAGGTACCTTACCCTCTTCCATACATTTATTAAATAATTGCACCAACCACTCCAAAACTATATCCCCACCTGCTTTTAACATTTCTATCTTTATCCCATCAATCCCGGCTGCCTTACCCCCTTTCATTTTACCTACTGCCTCACGAACTTCCCCACACTCACAACTGGCTCTTCCTCACTCCTACAAGATGTTATTCCTCCTTGCCCTATACACGAAATCACAGCTTCCCTATCTTCATCAACATTTAACAATTCCTCAAAATATTCCTTCCATCTTCCCAATACCTCTAACTCTCCATTTAATAACTCTCCTCTCCTATTTTTAACTGACAAATCAATTTGTTCTCTAGGCTTTCTTAACTTGTT